TTGTTGGCCTCCTGCACCTGAATGACAAAGTGCTCATAGGCCTGGTCAGCTGCGGTCCAGTTGAGTGTGAGGCCATCCCAGCCAACCTCAGTCACGGTGAGATTTTCCAGCTCAGGGATTTGTTCTGAATAATGACAGAGATGGCGTCAGTGAAACTATTCCCCCAGACACTTTCCTTCCTATAATGCAGCAAAGGCAACCCTACTGCCAGTGCTGGAAGGCTCTGGGAGTCTGTGTGCTCACTGCAACGCTTCCTCCCACCCCCTCCCACCCCCGTCCGCACATTCCCATAAGTACTGCCATCCTCATTCAACCACCAACAGAAAAATCAAAACCACGTTCAATTTGCACTCCTGTGCTTTTTAGGCAGTCTTTGGAAAATTCATTTTCCTATTGACCAGGTTTGGAATAAACCATACATCTAAGCTGGGGTGCTTCATGGCTGAGTTTCTATTTTGGAAAGTGTTCCTCACCAAAGGGGGTGCCTCTCTCAATGGTTCCGGAGGCCTGAGCAGTGTCCTTAGATTAGCTTTTTTTTTTTTTTTATTGTGGTGTCTCAGTTTTTCCTAGATGCGTTCTTATAGTAGATATGGAGAGTTTTGTCAGTTCAGGAGTTCAAATCAGTTTATGCCAACTACTTCAATAAAGATCAGAACCAAGACTAACATAATGTAAGAGAGGTGACAATCTTTTGAAAAACTGTCCCCTTTTGGATAGAAAATAAAGACCATAAAGTCCTGGGAGAAACAGAGCTTACTAATAAGATCAATTTGAAAATAGCTGAACTATTTTATATACACATATGAAAATGGAACTACGATGCTTGTTGAAATTAGTTTGGCCAATGGAGTAGGAGAAAGGAGAGAGTGATGGGTGAGTTGGATCAAGTAGACATATATGGGCATGTCACAAGGAAATCCCCTTGTTCAAATGAGTGATGCTAATAAAACAAAATGTGAAAAATAACCCAGAATGCCTCATCCTTTTCCATCTCTTGAACATAGACATGAAGCAGAATCTCACTTGTCTGAATCTTAATTAAAGAGTTCATTGGCTCAGGGCTGAGTTAAGTGGACTTTGTGTGACCTCAGAACAAAGGATTTCTCTGGAAATGGATCCTATAAACAAGAGAGAGACTAGGAACTGCCTTTGTTTATTTGAAAGATCAAGTCTTCTTTCTATTTATGCCTCGTCTTTGTTGCTAATTTCCAGGGAGCCCTATATGTCCATGAATGCAGCCTTTGAACTCCAAAAATGTTAACTTGCAACCTGATTGAAGACCCCTATCAGCAGGGTAAAGTTTCTCTGTTGGAGTCTATTTAATTTTGACTTTTCTAGATTCTTGAGAATATTCTTTCTGTTACTTCATACTGGAAAAGCTTATAGTCCTTAAAATTTCTTTAGCTTTACTTTGATGTAGGACATAGATATAGATACATGAACTATAACCTAAAGACCATATCTGACCTTCTGACTAGTTTGTAGCTAGCATGGTGACATCAGCTTTTACATTTTAAAATGGTGACTTTTTTTAAAATGCAAAGAAGAATGATGTTTCATGATACATGAAAATCAAGTGAAATTTGAATTTTGGGTGTCATAAACTTTTATTGGAATAGAGCCACACTTGCTCACTTAGACATCACTGATGGCTACTTTTGTGTTACAGTGGCACAGCTCGCTGTATATTCATGAGAGGGATTGGCCTGCAAAGTCTAAAATATTTATCATCTTGCCCTGTAAAGAAGATGTTTGTGATGCCTGAGCTTGAGCTACACGCTATGGACTCTTCATTTAATCCCATTTTATCCCTTATGCTCATATCCAAGTCTTTAGAGCAGTTCTTAGCCATCTTCACATGGCCTCTATGAGAAGGAGAGACCCTGAACTCAAGGTGTTATGTATCTACACTTAAGGAAAAGAAAGGAGGGCCAAGATACTCTGAAACAATGGAACTATGTGAAGCTAGGAAAAAGGGTCTCCAAATACAACAATGATGTCCTTGACCTTGGGGCTTAAGCATAAGTAAACTCAGGAGCATGTCTTCGTATGTTCTAGCAGCCCACATACATAAAGAGAAATAAGGCAAAACCAAAACTAAGCAAAAATGATTGTTTTGATCTTTAGGGTTCTCAAACTCTCTTTTCTTTTCCTCTTATTTCTGTTCTAGGTATCTTTGTTTTAGGCTTATCCTTAAGTATGACATTGAAGTATAATATTCTGTCTGCCTGTCTGTCTGTCTGTCTGTGTATGTGTCTATAAATCCATCCATCTATCTACCACTTTGCAAATGATGTGGGAGAGTTATCTGTTGTTATAGTAATGATGGATAGAAAGGAGATTCAAAATTCTTTCTGGGGACCCTCCCAGGTTACTTCATTTGTTCATGTTGTACCAGTTCAGTCACTAAGCAGGAAGAATCATGTCAACAGTTTTGGCTGTTCCTCCACTTTTTTGTTTTTTGGTAAGTAAATCAGGAAAGGACACTGACCACCATGTGGTCAGGTTTACATGGGATACAGTTGGCATCTGGTCAACTCTTCCACTTAACAGATTTTTAGAGTGGTAAAAGATACAACTTCCTTTGTGAATAAAATCAATACATAACAAAGAGACTGGAATTAGAATTGTGAAAAGGAAATGATCAATAGAAACACAGCAGATAGGAGTAGAGCTAGAGACTTAAGAAGCTTCCCATAAGTGCTGGCTCTACATTTCCATAGCAAATGACACACTGTGGCCTTCCCGCCCCAGAAGCCAAGGGTTCTCATTGTACACTTCCACACTGACTCTCTTGGCATTTCTTGATGAAAAGGCTGTTGTCTTTTTCTTACAGCTGTGCATTGGAATCTACCCTCTGAACAATGTCAGTAGGCCTGGGAAATCAGAATTTTGAAATTTGATGTCGGTGCTTATAGTGGGTTGAGCAGCTGGCCTGGAGGAATTTCTGGCAGTACCAATGTCCAATGTTTAGATTCCCACCCTGTCAATGGTAACTACCAAAACAGGCACAATGAAAAAACTCTCTCTCATGGGAGAAAGATGGATTCTCCCTCCGCTGAGGGGTGATCAAATCCAAGCCTGAAGACCCCCAAAGGTAGATGAAATGGAGTTAAGCTCTCGTAGAGATAAAATAATTAAAACATAAAATCTCAACTGCCTTAAAACTTTCTAGTGCCTCCTTGTAACTATCAGCAATGAAAACCAAGGCCTTGAGCATCACTTTAGAGGTCATTTGCAAATGTTTCTAGCCCTGAGCTCCACTTTCTCTGTTAGGTAGACTGCATGCTTGTCTTGCACAAAAATGAACTTCCTGTGTCTTTGAGCCTTTCAGATGTGGTCCTTCCTGTTGGAAATGCCATGGCTTTCTTTCCATTTTCCTTTACAAGGGCTTATCCAAGCATCATTTCTTCCATTACTTCTCTGAGATTTTCCTTCCCTTTGCCAGATATGTGATAGGGACCTGCCTCTAGTCTCCTGTGGCTTCTAGCTGCCCCTGTAAGACATTGCTGTAGTTCTTAATATAATTCTTTCTACCTCATTGAAGCCTCCACCATTTCGTCTGTTGTGTTGTTCCCTACACCTAAGAGCATTTCCTAACTCAAATAAATACTTCTTGGAAAGATACATATTTAATAAGTTTTAGCCTGCTCCATGAGACACATTGGCAAATCAGAGGACAATATCTTCTAATGCCTGTTGCTGTAAAAGAAAAATGAGATTTCACTTTTCTGCCTTCTAAATTCATGCCAATTTCTGGAGTGTACTCTTGAATCCTACAGTGCTGTGGAAAAGGTGTTCCATTGTCCTTGTATTCAAGCTATGGTCTGTGATTCATGTGTCTATGACTCCCAGAGGCCTTGTCCTTAAGCAGAGTTTAATTGGATTTTCAGAATTTAAATTCAAAAGAAGGAAAAGGGGATAAAGGGAAGAGATGAAAGAAGATAAGAAAAAGAAGGAAAAGAGGTGGGAAGGTCAGGGAGGAAGTGAAAGAGGGAAAGGAGAGATAATGAGGCAGAAATAGAGAGGGAGAGCCTGGCTCATACTAATTTCCTTTATCACTAACAGGGAGAGTATCTTTTACCACTTCCTACCTTCCTTCTCTTCTCTACTTTACTCTTTTCCTTTCTTCTGCTTTTTCTTGTATTAAGCTGAATTAAAAACTTTTCAGTGAAATGTTTTCTCTTCCTTTTCCATTAGTTCTTGAGGAAGATAATACAGAGGTAGAAACAAAGGAACAGAGGTCTCAATGGAAATGCTGGCCCTGGAATACTGCATTCGAGATTCTTCCCATCTTAAGCAGTTTCTGGCTTTCTGCTGGTAGATTCCATTCTCCCAGCCACACCCTGATCATTCTTAGTACAGTGCTGTGGACTAGAGCTCTCGGGAATCACATGTCTTCTTTGCTCTAGAAACCTCAGAACTTAACATTAAGTTTGGTTATAGTGTGGTATTGGCTTGGGAAATACAGAAGACTTGGGTTTTTGAGAAAGAACTCAAGAGATGGAAAGAAATATCTACTATACTTTTAATAAACTGTTCTGGAGAGAACGCCAGGGTGGCATATTCTGGAGATAATGAGGAAGAGCCATTACAAATGACTTTGCCCATTTTTGTTTCCTGTAGTGAGCAATCTTCAAATATAGAATATGGTCTCTTTGAAATAGCATTAAGGAGGTGTGGTGTGGGAGATGCTGGTGCCAAGGCTTTGCAATGCCAGTCCTGATGCCTAGACAGAGATAGGAACTCCAGCCTGTGGTCCAACAGGAAGCTTCTCCTTTCCTGAGCCACTGAGGCCTTGCCTTCCCCAATGGAGAAAAGAGGGAGGATGGCTGTCGCTTGAAGTTCTGATTGTTGAGAGTCTCTCTGATGTAGCATTTGTTAAACGTAGAAGGCAGAGGGAGGACACAAGAAAGGATAACAGGAGAGGGAAAGATAAGAAAGGAGAGGGATTTCTTTTTTCTTTTGAGTATTTTTAATTGTTATTATAAAGGTGATGTACCAGAGGGGTTACAGTTATATAAGGCAGATGAAGGGTACATTGCTTTCTGAACAACGTTACCCCTTCCCTGACCTGATAACCCGTGTTTATAGCCCTGAAAGATTCAAATCTGTGCTTTAGAATTTGATTCTCTTTGGCCTCTGCCCACCTTTGAGTAAATGCTCTCCTCTCCTGAGCAACCTTAGCAATCATCTCAAGGCTAAGTGGGAGGCTGTCCCTGCATGATCAGCAAAACAGATCATCTAGGTTCACTTCAAACACTCTGGCAGAGACTGATCTTTGCCCACCACATTTCTCTTTTCCTTAAAAGCAACTATGATAGTATGTGTTTAACAGCATGTTCAGACATAAGATTACTTCACTTAGTCTCACTTAAAGCTAAGAAAGGCCAGTGATGCAAGGAGAGACATGATTACTGGTTTCCAGGAAGGTTCATCTAGAAGGTAGCCCTATTTCAGCCCTATTTTCCCCCTGCCTAGAACACAGAAGGAATGACAATATTATAGCAGCTATATTGTGACACTGAGGTGACTTTGGGAATCGAAACCAAGGTCTGAGAATGGTAAAACAAAAAGCCAGAAGTTGCTCAGGTCTCTGATTATTTGAAACTACTGTGCTGTCCCCAAACCACCTGGATTCTTTTTATAACAGAGGAAAAAAAAACTTCTATCTTACATAAGTTATGAATGACTGGAAAATTCTATTTGGCTAAAGATATTTGTGAAGGGCATTTCTACATACATCTCTTGCAATCCCTTTTTGAATCATCAAGGCTCAGCTGAGGTGGCTTCTCTGTCAGGTAGGATGCCTTTGCCAGATGCTCCTGACTTTTGATCCCCTGATCTTTTCTGTGATTGGGCTCTGCCTCACACCGTAGGTATCTGGTCTGTCCCGGGGACCATGAGCAGGGGGCATTCTGCTGTACCTAACTGTACAATCTGCGTGACACCTTCTCCTCAAACATCAGCCTGTCAGCAGGTGCTCAGTTCATGAAAACTATTTAAATTGGAAATTAAGACCATCACTTGCCAAACCCTGAAGAAGTACTATTTCACATCCACACTTTTTCAGTGCTCAGTGGCAAACTCTGAATGTGTTGCTTTACAAAATAAAAACCAAAAAAAAATCTCTTTTTTGATTTTGTTTGTTTTTCTGATTCTCTTCCACTCAGCTCCTGAGGAAACATGGTAGCAAATCCAGTGTGGAGGGTTCAAGAGACACTGGAAGGCAGGGTGAACCAGGATAGACCAGGTGAACCTCTGCAGGACTAAGAGGAAGAAGAGCATGAGAAGGACAGGAGGCTCGGGGGACCACGTGTGAGTCATCAGTGTCACCTTCTAAGAAAGCAAGAGACCTGAAATAAAAACCTTTCCTGGAAAAATAACCAGAGAATGATTACTAGCATCCCACTCTTGTCTAAGAAAAGAAAGTAACTCATGGTTAGGTGTAAAAGAAGAAAGAAACAATTTAAAAGTAACTGTGAAACAAGAATTAACAACAAAAAAAGGACGAATGAACCTGGTGCCATAAGCTGTCCAGAAGAAATAGTTAAAAACCACTTTGTCTTGCCAGGGAACTTGGCTCCCTCCGTTGCCAAGAGGACAAGTTAATCAGGAGGAAAGACAAGGAAGCAGCTGTTTCAAAGTGGCATTTAAGGACTTCCTGGGTAGAGAAAGCTGTACATTTACCATCTGGGTCTCTCAGCATGACTGCAGTACTCTGCAAATCAGAGTCACCAAAGGGTAAGAAGGTGGTTAGGTGGTTCAGGGCAACTCACCAGTGGACGCCTTCACATGTGCTGGTTTGCTCTTGTGCCTGCCCTTCTCGGCTGTGAGGACAATGGTGTATTCCTGTCCTGGTTCCAACCCCGTTAGGACATAGGATGTGGTGTCCTTCGGCAGCTGGGCCTCTCCTGACTGGCCTGTAGATAGGCTGTAGTTGAGGCGGTAACGGTCGAACTTGGCCAGTGGGGCCCTCCAGAGCAGGGTCAGGCTGTTCTCTGTTGTTTCAGAAACCTGGAGGTCCTTGGGTGCATCCATGTCTGGGAGAAAAACAAAAGAGGAAGACTCATAAGGCTGGGAGGTACAGGTGCTGGTAGGGCCGAAGGTCACCAGATTCTGGGCTGGAATCCTAGACTGCTGCTGAGGGGCTGTGTGCCTTCAAGATAGTCACTTCTCTGCCCCTCAGTTTCTACCTCAGCCTATTTTGCTCTATCCTACTCTAACTACTGGTTGGATTTTGGAAGCTTAAAAATAATGTAGTGGCATATCCATACTACAAAATGTTTCCTGGTAGCTCATACCTGTAATCCTTTCTACTCAGGAGGCTGAGATCTGAAGATCATGGTTCAGAGATAGCCTAGGCAGACAAATCTGTGAGACTCTTATTTCTAGTTAGCAAAACCCAAAACAAAAAAAATCCAAAACGAAAAGAAAAGAAAAGAAGCCAGAAGCAGCGGTATGGCTCACATACTAGAGCTTCAGCCTTGAGCATAAAGCAAAGGGATCAGAATGAGTTTTGGAGTTCGAGCCCCAGTACCAGCATAAAAACAAACAACACACACACACACACACACACACACACACACACACACACACACACACACACACACACACATTTAAAAGGACCAAGCTAACAACACACACACACACACACACCATACATTTAAAAGGACACACACACACACACACACACACACACACACACACACACACACACACACACACACACACACACACACACCATACATTTAAAAGGACCAAGCTATATACAAGAAACAATTGATAGGAATCTCGAAAGATTTATGGCAGAAGAAAAAAGGTAGTTTCAAAAGGTGATACACCATTTTATATGGATGGTATGTTTGTGTCTCCCTAAAATCTGTATTTTGAAACTGAATCCCCAAACTGATAGTATTTGGATGTGGGAATCTTTGAGCGGCCTTGTGAATGGAACTAGTGGCTTCATAAGGAAAGAGCCTGGAGGAGATCCTGGTCCCTTTCGGACATGGAAGGACATGGCATAAAGACAGACATTTCCCTAAACCTGCAGGAAGGTCCTCACCGAATTTGTTAGCAACTTGACCGGTGCTTTCCAGCCTCCACCCTATGAGAAGTAAATTACCTCAGTTTATAAGGCACTTAATGCAGGGTACTTTTGTTGTAGTACAGAATGGACCAATACAAATAGGATTTCATTTATGCAGAATTCATGAAATAGCAGCAGTGGATGAACAGGATTAGGCAGAGAGGGATGGAGGGAAGTGGCTGTGGAAGCATCCGTGTGGATGAGTTTGCATCTCCACCGCAGGGCTGGCCTTACAGCCCTACAGGTGTGATTAAAAACCAGTGTGGTCATCATGGGAATTCCAGGTGTGCCTCACCTGTAGCTGCATTGATGGTTGCTGGATTGCTCTCCTTGTCCTCCTTCACAGCAGAAACACCAATCCCATATTCAGTTCCTGGCCTCAGACCTATGAGAGGATGTGCAGGGTGAGAGGAGGCTGGAAGTAGAAAGGCTTTTGGACGATCCCTAATGGCAGCTCTGGACTGGTCTCTGCACACTGTGATTTCTCAGTGTCCAGAATGTGGTGTTATATTGCTTGTGGTCCAAGTGAGAGAAATTCGTAGGAACAAGGCTTACTTCCCTGTGGGTCACTGTAAAATGGGGGACATGTAGGAGCAGATCCCTGTCCCTAGGAACACCTGACTGTGCAAATAGGACTCACCCGTGAGTATGGTTTTGGTTGTGGCTTGTTGACTCTTTGGGACATCAACTTCTGCATGGTCACCTCCAGAGATGGGTGCATACTTAATTCTGTAGTTGTCAATGGCTGCCTTGACATTCCTCCATTCCAAGGTGATACTGTTGTCTGTCTGGGAGATGCGTCGGAGATTCCGGGGAGCATCCAGGCCTGTGTATAAGAAGAAGGAACATGTGAACTGACTTCGGCAGGTACTAGGAGAACAGGAGCCTTTGACAGTTCAAGCTGAGATATAGACGGCACCTGCCATTGGAAAGGAATGACAAGACCTGTGTCTGTGGCTAACCACAAATCTCAACGAATACTATACATTTGGCAGTTCTCCAATTACTGATGTGTGTGACATTTTAATCACTTGTATTTTTCTGAGTTTTACTTAAGAGACAATTTAAATAAGGTCAGGAGTGTAAGACCTAGTATCTGTGCTTCATCACTGTATTTCTAATAACTTATACGGAACTCACAGAACTCTTGCAAAGTATTTCTTGGATAAACAATTGCTACTTTCATACTTTTAAAAGTAATGCCATGGGCTAAGAGGCTGGGAGCTTTGTCACCATGTATATTATATTATTTGGTGGTATTGAGATTTGAACTCAGGGTTTTGAGCTTGTGTGGCTAGTACTCTACCATTGTAGCTATGCCTCCACCAAGCTTTTTGTTGTTTATTTTGAAGAGTCTCCTAGACTTTTCTGCCTAGGCTGGTTTTGTGTCACAGTGTTCTTGATCTCAGCCTTCTCCTGTGTAGCCAAGATCACAGGCATAAGCCATAAGGAACTTGGTTTTGAAAACATTTAATGTTTAATTGAATTGGATTTTAACCAGAACACTGATCTAAGACTATCCTTCCAGTATCTTCCATACACATAAAAACTAAAAAGGTATTTTGGAAGGCAATAGGGATTTTTTTCTTTTATTTGAAAAGACAATCAATTGCCATAGTTTTTTTAAAAAAATAAATGGAAAGGAATGGAAATACTGTCTTCAATGAAAATGAGTCCAGAAAACATCTGACTTGGTGTGGGGTAGAAATCTTGCCATTTTCCTTTCCCATCCCTGTTAACAGAAAAAGGACTGTTACCTGTTGTGAAGGTCTCTTTGGCTGGGTTGCTGGACATGTCCACCCTGCGGGAGACGAGGGACACCTCGTATTCTGTGTCAGGCTTTAGGTTTCCGATGGAATACTGGTTCTCATCATGTGTAAGGTCAATGGTAGTGCGGTCACCGGGCATATCTTTGGCACCATAGGAGAGCTCGATGCTGTCTATCTCAGCCAGGGGCTTGAACCAGGTGACTAGAGCTGTGGTGTCTGTGATGTCTTTCACCTCAAGCTGGCTGGGAGCGTCCAGACCTGGATGGGACAGAGGACAGAGCAGATTCAGAGATCAAGGCCAGAGCCAGTTACTGAGCAGACCCATGAATGAATGAATAAGATGTATACTGACTTCTTATTTTATCTTTTGGAGCCTCAATTTCCTAGTTGATACGCTATAGGTAGGGATTATGAGTGTATATTTTTTCTAAGTAAGAAAGGAGATAATGCTCACAAAGAAACCATCTAGCATAGAGCCTGGGGCATGGGCTATTATATAATAAAAGATTTTGTTGTTATTATCACCATTAATACTCTGATTAGTTAAGGGAACATAGAGGATATCTCCTCTGAACGAAATTGATCTAGTTGCTCTCTTCCTTTTAAAAATTAGGCCAAACTTTTCTGGGTGCTTACTAACTTTTCCATTTGAACAACGGAGCAGAGATTTGAGGCAGTGGTCTGTTGCTATGGGGTGTGGAAGTTCCTTTTGATGAAAAGAATTCATTGTTCTTTCAGTCCTTTCTTGTCTTCATATCTGCATCTTGGCTTGTCCTGTTGTACTGTTAAACTCAATTCTTGCTCTAGCCACTCGTATTTAGTGCTCTGGCAGCAGGCTGCTCAGACTTCTGGGAGCACACTTCTAGGGAGTTTGTCACTTTCTAGTCTCTTTCCCTTTCCCCTTTTCCCCGAGCTCATCCTACCCAGTCCAAAATGTTCCCATCCATCCCTGGAAATCTCTCTTACAGTTTATCTCCCAGCCCGAAGCCTCCTTTAGCCATGTGCAATCACCTAAACCCATTCTCTCTCCCTAAGGCTGCTCCTGTCCTGAAAGAGCTGGCTAACAGTCTGTTTTCCTCCCTATCCTGTAACAGATTTCTCCACAGTTTGACGTGATTCAGATAGGGTCACTCATTGATTCATTTACTCACTTATTCATTCATTACTCAGAGAATGAATCTTTGTCCCTTCTTGATCCCTAGCATAGAGACAGGAATGTGATAACATGTCACTACTTGGTATTTGGAAGATGTTTCTTCTTTCTAAAATAAGTCTGTGTCTTCAGCTTTGGTCAAATAAATGTCTGATAGAAGGTTGTAAGCTTTGTGCAAGGAGCAGGAAGAGAACTAATTCACCATGCATCGTGATGATGCTTGTAGCGTCTTAATTTTGGAAGTCTAGGTATTGGTCTCAGCTTGCAGATGATAGCTTATAATGAGAAGGATGCTGCAAATGAGTCATGAACCTCTGCTTGGTGTGTAGGAAGTCAGACCATTCTTCCTCCCTTTCTGGGAACTTTTTCATTACAGAGTTCGGGGTTCATCTAAGGTCACTGATATCCTCCTAGCTTGGGGTCCCTTGAATGTTGCATACTAACAGGACAGGCCTTTATAAAAAATCATTTTATAATTTTTTTATTGTAGATACTGCACAGAGGGGTTACAGTTACATGAGTAAGGTAATGAGTCCATTTCCTGTTGAGCATTGTTACCCCCTCCTTTGTTTTTCCCCTACCATCCTTTCCTCCCCAGAACAGGCTTTTTTTTGTGTCATGTATGTTTCTATTTGTAGAATCACCTCACAAGGAAAGTACTGTAAACGCATGTTGGATCTGGGGTTTAAATAATCAAGACTTTTCCACCAGGCTAGTGAATAGTGAAAATAGAAGTTAAACTGAGGAGTGATGAGATCCAGGCCTTTGTTGTTTCTCTTTTCTATGGCAATGCCTTTCATCGATTTCTACATATCAAAAAGAGCTACAATACGATCTTAAGAAGGTACCAGAGAGAAAGAACAAACATGTTTTATACTAAAAATTTAAGGCCATTCAGAACTGGACAAACTTCCAGTATGTCACTAAAAAGACTAGGTTAGTATACGTCTTTTAAGTTGCTATTTGCGTAACTCTGAAAATTCAAACATTGGAGGTGTTTGTTCTTCCGTAAGAAGAAAATAGCCATTCCTTACATTTGGAATAAAAAGAAAAGGGCAGGCAAAAGAATTGCCCTTTGTGTTTTGGGTGTGTTTTCTGTTCAGTGAGTAAGCATTTGCTTGATCCTTTCTATGCTTTTCTGGTGATCTAATGATTTTTTTTCCTGCCTGTACCTGCTTTCAACCTACCACAGAGAGATTTTGTCAGGATGATGGAAAACACTTACTATGAAAGAGCCAGTCTTATGCATTGGCCCTGAGCTAGGCAAAAATGTGCAAATGTCTTAGTGCAAGCTGTTCTTTCTTGTCATTAGTCAACAGATTTAACTTTTCCAACAACCTCCTGCCAAGAAGATTCAACTCCTTAGAGAACTAGCACATATGCAATCTTGAAAAAAAAAAAAAAGGAGGTTTTCCTAAATGGCAATGCAAGATTAGGTTCTTTCTTTTATTTTTTTTGACAAATATTTCTTCCTAGAAAAGCAACTCCAAATTCATACTTTTTTTCTTATCAAATGTTCTAGTTATGCTAAAGCTTATTCTACTCTAAGAAGTTTTGATAACAGTCATTTTGAGTGAAATCTTATTTAGATTTCTGTTGATACATGAAATCAACTTTCTGAAAACAACAAGAACAACCACGTAGCCTGTTGAGTGCTGGTGATAATGGAGGTAAGGTTCTAATAGTTGTCCTGGCTTAAAGTCGTAGCACTGACTGTATAAACTATGAGGTATTAAGATGATTTTGCTTCTTAATGATCCAAGGGATAGCACTGACCAAGAGGCAGTATACTAATAAAATGACACGTTAAATCAAAAACTCTTTGTACAACTACTTAAAGATAATTTTTTTAAAAAGTAAAAAAATGACTCTAATTTTCTCAGGCTTACTTTCTACTTTTCAAATATAATAGCAAGAATATTTGCCCTGTTTCTTGCCTTAGGACTGGGTGTTAGATTTAAATGAGATGATGGGGTAGATAGTTTACATCATAGTGGTTTAAATCATATCCTCCTTCATCTCTACCTCCTGGAAATGTGTCTTTTGAGTTCCTATTATCAAAGATGGACCTGTTTCCCTAACCCTTAGACTTGGGCTCACCTTGGTGTTTGTGTGACAGCAGTGTGGGACTGCCGGTTTGAGGCCTGCTCAATAGCCCAGTGCACAGGTCCCAGTTAGTCTAGTGAAGATGAGACCATATGGAACAGAAACTTACCATCTGGCTGAGGTCATACCAGACCCGCAAGCCCTCCCTCTCCCCTTCTTCCCTGGAAGGAGATGCATGATGTATCAATGAGCCCATCTAGTATAGCCCATCAATCCAAAATCATGAATCTGTAGAAATGTGTTGTGTGAGCTATAACATGGAGCCTTCTTGATAATGAACAGAAGCACAGAAGCTCATTGACACAGATGCACCAGAAGGTACACTGAGGCACAATTGGTTCCATCATTGTAATACTCACGGGTTGTCGTCACCCTCCTCAAGCCAGGACCCCTGGTGTTGTTCTTCACAATGTGCAAAGATATCTCATACTCTTGCCCAGGGGCAAGACCAGTTTGCCGGTAAGAAGTCTCTGGCCTTCGTAGGCTTTTGGTGATCTCTCCCTCGTCTTCTTTATTCTGCAAGATAGAAGGAAGCACTAGAGTTAGACTTAGAGAGGTGGTACTGCTTTCATTTGTGGGCTTCATTCTTTGTTGCATCAATTTTGTTCACTAGGTAGTTCACTATGAATTGGATTGGCATTTGGAGTGCTGAGGATACAGAACTGATAGACATTTTGTTTCTCAAGTTCATTTCTGTCTCTTGTAGATCTCTCTACCTACCCTCTTATACACAAGTCCAATGCCTGAAAGTGAGCGCCAGAGGAATTATGACCGTAAATTCAACCTTTCTTTTGAGAGACCAGGGGGCTGGCATCTGAGAAGTTGAGTGATTTTCCTATAATCACGTAACTAGTTGGTAGCAGAGCTTGGATTTATACCCAGAAACAAGGTTGCTGGCATCTCCCATGCTTTTCGGCTTGGGGGAACAGCTGCTCAGATCCAACATGTGTTTGGAGACATTTAGGAATGTACAAGGTGGACTTGAGAGGACCTTGTTTGCCTAGGTTCTCAGTTGTAAACCCTGTACTTTCTAACTTACTAAAATCAGAGAAACACTCAACATTACTTAAAAGGCACATGCAAAACTACAAGATGCCGGAGCTTTGTCTTCCCGCCAAAGTTGAGGACAGAGTTACTTGAGTCTGTAGAATCCTTTGACTCCCTTTCAGATCCTTGAGGTCAAATACACCTGTTCTCTGTATCTCACCATATTCCGGAAGATGATCTCCCATGTTTCAAAAGCAATGTCTAGAGGATCCCACTCAACTTCCACTGATGTCTCCTTGATGGACTTGAATTTTAGGCCTTCAGGTGCAGGCAAGTCTATAAGAAACAGCACAAACAATACTATAAGGGGGGGGGCAGATCTGTGGTGGGAGCCACACAGCCCTGATTCTACTCATTATCAGCTCATGATGGATGCCTGTCATCCAGGGGCTGATAATCAGAACTGGCCTCTCTCTAGAAGTTCCTCTTCTGGGATTCTGTCTACTATTTTGCTCCTTGAAAACTAGTAACTATTAAGACCAACCATGTAATGGGATACTGGCAATTTTACATGGGTAACTGTAACTAAGTCCAGATTTTGGAATCAGACAGACTTGGGCCAAAATCTTAAGCTTCACCATTCTGTGTGTGTGCGTCTGTGTGTCTGTCTGTGTGTCTGTCTGTGTGTCTGTCTGTGTGCCTGTCTGTGTGCCTGTGCCTGTGTCTGTTTGTTGGTCCTGGGGCTTGAACTCAGGGCTTGGGTGCTGTCCCTGGGCTTCATTTTGCTCAAGGCATGTGCTCTATCCCTTGAGTCACAGTGTGACTTCCAGCCTTTCTTGGTGGTTAATTGGCGATTAGAGTCTTACAGACTTTCCTACCCAGGGTGTCTTTTAACTGTGATCGACAGATCTCAGCTTCCTGAGTAGCTAGGATTCCAAGCCTGAGCCACCCAGCAAGCTTCACCATCCTTAACATTGCGACCTTGAGAAAGTCCTGTAAATTGTCATGAGTCTGAGAGAAGGAGGCGACTGCCGTGCCTGGGAATGCAAAGAGGACTGAGTGATGTATTTTGTCATAGACGAGAGAGACCTGGCTCCTGTCACGCAGCACAGATTTGGGAAGTGGCAGCCACTGTTGTTATTGCTAAGTAACTAAGGGCCATCTTCAAGCCATAACTTGCTTTTCAGGTATGAAGGGAATTATATGGATACTGAGACTTAAAGGAACAATCTGAATCCTAAGCATTATCTGCTTAAAAAAATAGAACCAGCTAATGAGCTCTCTAGAATGTCACCTGGACTGCTCAAGCTCAAGTCCTATCTCTGCTGCTGATTAGCTGTGGAATTTTGGTTGAGATGGTGTACTACAGAGTCTCAGTTTCCCCATCAGTTCATGCAGTTAACAGTGAGTTAATATTTGCAGAGTAGTGAAAACGAAGTCTGGTACATGGCAGACACTTGGTTAAGTGTTACCTGCTAATGTTGAAAGGCCACAAGGAAAGCAAAGAGGAGATTAAGTAGAAAATTAGTTTCTTTAGGAAAATATTCAGTGGACTTAAGTCAGGTTCTAGGTTCTAAATTAAAATAACTACACATAGGACAATGGTAGGATTGAAGGAGTAAGGACTGGGGGGAGGCACAGCAAAGGGGGGGATGACAAAGCCAGATGAGCCCACCAAGAGGGGCTCTGCCCACTCACAAGTGGCCACCCTGGCACTGACAGGGATGCTCCTCTTGTTCTCCAGGATGGCAAACACACGGATGAAGTACTCCACACCGGGCTCCAGCTCCCGGATGGTGGTAGATGTCTGGTCCCCAGGCACACGGAACTGCATTTCCAGGCCATCGGCATGGGTAGGCGTGTACATGATAAGGTATTCGGTGACCCGCATCTCATTGTCCCAGGCCAGGTTTACAGTTTCCTCGGTCACTTCGGTCACTATAAGGTCTTTGGGAGGGGACACTGGCAGAAATAAGAAAGGACATCTGAGGTCAGCAGTGTGTCTTGTAGAATCTAGGTTTGCTTCCCTTGACCTGTCTCTTCACTGTCAGCAGCAGAGGTGTAAAGCTGTGTGCCCTGAAATCTGGTACCACTTTCTCTAAAATGCAGGCAGACTTCACTGAGGAGTCTGGCATAACCATCCATCCATTCATTCTTTCAATTCATTCATCCATTTACTTAATTCTGTGGGGGAGCTGGGGCTTGGATTCAAGACCTTACACTCTTGCATGGCTTCTAGTGTTCTACCTACTTGTACAACACCTCCCCTCTGGCTTTTTGCTGGTTCATGGGAGATTAGAATCTCAGAGACTTTTTTTTTTTTGCCCTAGCTGGTTTGGAGCCCTGATTCTCAGCTCTCAGTCTCCTGAGTAGCTAGAGTGACAGCAGTCAGCCACCATCAACAGGCTCTGATTCATCTTTCAGACCCATCAGTCCCCTGCTTTCAGGCCGAGGTTCCTGGGTCGGCAGAACGCCCTTCGTTCACCCTTCTCGGGTTCCACCCCCAAGTTGTAACCCAGACGCAGGCCACCGCTATGGGCACGTGCAGCCTGACCCAGATTCCGTGTGTGTACTCACCCTCGGAGCAGTCCTCCCCGGCATAGCCCTCCTGGCAGATGCAGCGGCCGGACACACACTGCCCCAGGCCGTGACAGTCACTGGGACAGGAGCGCTGCGCGCAGTCGGGGCCCGCGAAGCCCTCGTGGCAGGCGCACCGGCCGTCCACGCAGCGGCCCTGGCCGTGGCAGTCGCCGGGACACCTGCGCTCCTGGCAGTCTCGGCCCATGAAGCCCTCGTGGCAGACGCACTGGCCGTCCACGCAGCGGCCCTGGCCGTGGCAGTCGGCGGGGCAGGCGAGCTGCGCGCAGTC